GGGCGTCAGAAAATGCAGAACTCTGGGGCGCCCGGGTGGCTCCGTCGGTGAGGCGTCCGACTCTTGATCTCAGCTCAGGTCACGAGCTCACCGTTCGTGAGTTTGAGCCCCGGGTCGGGCTCCGCGGTGACAGCGTGGAGCCCGCTTGGGATTCTCTCTCTCTCTCTCTCTCTCTCTGCCCCTCACTTCTTCGTGTGCTCTCCCGCTCACAAAATAAATGGATAAACGTTAGGAAAGAAGGGAATAGAAAATGTAGAACTTTGTGTGCGTGTGCTGGCATGCAGGGACAAACTGGTAGCTGGGAAAATATAGTCCTGGTCTCCCTGGTGGGGAGCCCTGACCCTGACCGGGGGTGGGGGGCGGGGTGAAGGGGCAGCCAGTCGTGCCCGTGTGCCCCCGAAAGAGCTGATGCACACAGGAGATAGTCCAGCCCTCTGATCACCCCGAGCAGTGGTTCTCAACTCTGGGTGTACTAGAATTGCCTGGGGGGCTTTCAAAAATGAGACCCAGGCCTGGCTCTCCCCACACCAGTTACACGAGAAGTCGGGGAGTGCTGCTTGAGCACCCACACATTGTTCCGCGTCCAGCGATTCTAATGCACAGCCAGGGTCGGGACCCACTGCTTACCTGAGCAGAACGGGAAGGTTCGGCCTCCCCTAAATGGACACCTGTGTTCCCTCCATCAGGACCCGAGACTTCAAGATGGATCGAATGACCATTTTTCAATATTCTGAAATTCCTGGCCAGTGAAACCAGGAGCTAGGGTTGGGTTTATTTGCTGAGCTGCAAATGATGTGGTTAATGCGCAGCACTTCCTGTTTGCTTGGGCAGGGAGCAGGACATCTGCCCAGAGAAGCCCTTCCATCTTTGAGGCCTGGGGACAATTTGGTGCCAGGAAGGCCTTTAAAGGCTGCCCCCACTCCCCTTGGGTTTCATCTTCCTCCCCTTCTGCTTCCCACAGTCATCACTATATGCCCTGGGGTAAAACCAAATGTGCGAACACATGCTCACAACCTTTTTCTAGGACGCCAAGTGGGAACTAGAACAATTTTCCACCCCTTCCCTCCCTGCCCCCTTCCTCCACCTCCCTCTCAATGAGCCCGTCAATCACTTTGAATGGAGAGAAAAATCACCAAAAAAATGAACAGGACCCGAGGGCAAAATAAGTTTGAGAGACACTCTGGAACTCTTTAAAGCAGTACAATATACAGAGGATCCTTTCCTTTTGATGGCTGGAACCCAAAATGGCACCCCCCCCTCCTCTCAGCCCTCACCCCTACCTTGTTCTCTGAACAAAGATGATGTTGGCATTATACTTCTATTTGAAAAAAAAAAAAATCAATGATCAGTTTGGACTGCTCAGGCTAAACCCCCAATTTGGGAATGCAGTCAAAAAAACAACAACAACAACAACAAAGAAAAAAACAAACCAACCAACAAAATCAATCAATCAATCAATCAATCAATAAAAACAGAACTCCATCCCAAGGAGGAAAAAGGAAAACTGAGTGCATCTAGGGGTGGGATTAAGGATCACAGGCACTAATTTTGCATGAACTGCTCTTGTCTTCCTGGGATATGTTTTTAATGCAGTGATGATAGCCTTCCAGTGGCCACTGGCAGCATCTCAACATCTTCGGGGATGAGCGCGAAGGGGCTGTGTGGGGAGGCTGTTTCCCAGCAGGCTTGGAGGTGATTAGCACAAGTCACGAGCAAGCAGGGGGAGGAGGCGGCCAGGACACAGCCCCTGGCTTATTAAGAGTGAGATCCGATGCTGGAATCCTCAGGGCAAAAAAAAAAAAAAACCCAATGACCCAGGAAAACTACACCAGCTGACAGCCTCAGGAAAAGGCTGAAGGAAGAGTTGCAAAGGAGAGAAAGGCTTAAGTAACTTTCCAAAACTCTGCACTGTTAATCTCCTGGGAGGCCCTATACTGTACACACAATGGCTGGGACCCCTGATATTCTGGTACTTTCTTTCATGTGGAAACACCATCCTTTCTCCATCCCCTTCTTCCCAGGGCGGAGGGCTCCCAAGTTCCCTCCACCCTCCCTCAGCTTCAGTTTTTGATGTTTCCCTCATTTAGAAAAACAAGCAAGTATCTGCATTGTGGATTGCTGTTCTCTAGGGCTGCGCTATTGTTGTAAGGCTCCGTGGGGGACGGGGCAGGGGTGGGGACTGTCTCCTTACAGGCCTCTGGTTTCTAAACACCCCCTCGAAGTGCACAAAAAAGAACAAGACCACCTGTCCCCAGGAAAGCAGGCATCCGGTTTGCCCCCCTGCCCAGGGGTTTTGGAATTAAGTGATCAGTCTCCACGGCTTTGACTAAAGCCTTCAACTGAACCCTCAGACCCATCTTTAGAGCTGGGGAATTGTCCTCAATGCTGTGTATCACACAGTTAGGGGGTCCCTAAAAGTTTCAAGTCAAATTGATCAACTTTGAAAGACCCCTGAGCCTTCTCTAACGTTTCCCCAGTGCCGCACATACAGCGTTTAGATTTAAACCTGAATGTGCCTGTGCTTTGAGAAGACGGCGTTTTTTTCTTTTCTTCTCCCAAAAAGGTTCCCTTGACCCTTTAAAAAAATTTTTTTAATGTGTATTTACTTTTGAGAGAAAGTGGGGGGAAGGGCAGAGAGAGAGAGGGAGACACAGAATCCGAAGCAGGCTCCAAGCTCTGAGCCGTCAGCACAGAGCCCGATGTGGGGCTCGAACTCACGGACCATGAGATCATGAATGACCTGAGCTGACGTTGGACGCTTAACTGACTGAGCCACCCAGGCACCCCCCCCCTTGACACTGTGTCCCTAGTCCTCAGGTCTCTGGTGAGCAAAGGTGATTAGAGGAAAGAATGGGGGCTACTTGTGGATGGACCTGGCATTATCACCACCTACTGCGGAACTCAACGAGTTTTCAACCCTGGAATTCAAGTTCACACCGAAAGCAGAAGGAAATATTTTCCATCATTTGTACCATTTAGAAGAACATGTATCAAAATATCCATTTCCCTCGGGATATAGTCCCTCTGTGACAGCCAAAGCACTATAATGTACAATGTAATATACAGAATACAGACAATTCCTAATGCGGGTGATAACCTGCAGGCTGCTGGGAGTATTGCAACTGCTTCACTAAAGACAGAGTGTCTATAATCTGAGAAAACAATATAATGGTCACACCGCGATTTACCTAAAGCGCTATTTTTTCAGTTGCAATGATGTCACACACGCAAAAAGGGCTTGTCAGCTTTCAATTCTTTCCTTACTAGTCAGAGCTACAGGGTGGCTGAATCAGAATTGCTCTCCAGGGGCGCCTGGGTGGCGCAGTCGGTTAAGCGGCCGACTTCAGCCAGGTCACGATCTCGCGGTCCGTGAGTTCGAGCCCCGCGTCGGGCCTGGGCTGGTGGCTCGGAGCCTGGAGCCTGTTTCCGATTCTGTGTC